AAAAAAAAAAAAAAAAATAGAAAAAGAACGGTAATTACGGTATAATATAAATCAGATTTTTAAAATGTACAAAATGCTATCTCATCCTAAAAATAAGGTTTTAGATGACTACAACATCCCAAATATATGCGGACCTCCTATTAATTAATTAACAAAAAACTACCGAAAATATACTGTAGGCGGGAAATCGAAGCGGGAAAAATAGAATTGTTTTTTTTGGAGTTTTTCAAACATTAAATTTTTATAGTAATAGATAAAAAATAAAAAGAAATAATATAATTATTTAAGTAATTTCTCCTTTTTTTTTTTTTTTATGGTTACACTTGAAGTGTAAAATTATTAATATTTGAAAAATGTCTCCATCGTAATTTGTATACAATGTGCCTATTGAACCGCAACAGGGAGTTTGTTAGGAGTGGTCAATTATCTTTAACAATAATGATTTGATTTTATTTGATTTCCTCAACCGGATATGCTTCAAAATTTGAGATTTTATGTACCAAAAAAAAAAAAAAAATGAGATTTTAGATTAGATTTTTGAAAATTTCAAAATAAAACTGGGCTTGAATAGGTGGGGTAGTGCGAAAATTTGTCAAAAAAGTTACTATTATTAGTAAAGATTTAGGCGGGATTTCATCTTATTTTTTCTTTATTATTTTGGAATTATTTAAGTTGCCTCTTTATATATAGATAGATAGATATCGTATTTTAGTTATATTATTTAATAAAGTATGTTAGTTATGTATAAAAATATGTATATTTTAATAAAAAATATATATTTGTGCATTACTCTATCTAAGAAGTAAGAATGATGGTGTGGAGCTGAGGTCTGATTATTTGACAAGTTGATGGGATAGTCGGTTATGGGCTATTTGCTCAGGTTCGGCCCAATTCACTTGTGCAGGCTAACAGGCTTAAAGTTGCAGGGCCTCGATGAAGAATCCATCATGGGCCCCCGCTCCTAATCCAATTTGGATATTGGGCTTGCACCTTTGAGACAAAGTTTTCATAGGTGTGTTGGACATCTGGCTTTATTTCTTGTACACTGTGATTAAGTTGCTTGCTAGCATTACAACATAGTTGGCAACACAGCTAATCATTTGAGCATTTCCACGTCTCTACTCATCCTTTTGTCATGCAATTACAAGTTACAACAACCATACACAAAATTGATTGTTTCAAATATTACAATGCATAAGGGCCCTATTTGTTGGATTAAATATTTACAAGCCTTTTTTTTTTTTATGTGCTATATTAACTAATGACATATTGCTCATTAAATTGGAAAAAAAAAAACAAAAAAAAACTATTGCTAACCGTGATTAATTATTAATAAATTGCACTGTGTTCAGGTAATTATATAAATTAATAGCATCAGTTAGTCACCAATTAACTCTGTTCCTTTTAGGTGGTGATACACTTTACCATATAAGCTGCTTTTTGTTAATCTTATAATATGATTATGTAAACTCAATTAAGTTGGCTCTTGTAGCTTTCTAATGGTTTTAGCTTTATAATCATTATTCTCAAGGGATAAAACAAAGTACATGTTATATTTTGATTTTGTTAGTTCTTGCTTTATAATATGTCACAAATTTAATTTTTCACCGTTGGATCAATATATATATATATATGCGTGTGATCAAATTCAATTTGTACATTGATGGAATCTACTCCAATAATGCAATAGTAACAACATTGAAAAATTAAGTTAATTCACTATGTACTTGGACATGAATTGTGAGTTTAATCCATACTCACACAACAAATTCGACCCTACCAGTGAGAGCATTGTTCTATCGATTTTTTTACTGTTAGAATATATAAATTATGATGATTCGATGGTAGACAACCAGACACACAACTGTGTAATTGTTCATATTATTGCATAGATTTCTTGAACTAGTGCATTATGAAAATGCTTAATAAACCCACCTCATAATAGGGGGATGTTGTATGTAGGTACAAATTTTGCATCTTTGTGTCTCACAATAAATTGTTCCAAAGTTGACCAAGAGAATTATATTATATCAAAATTTTTAAAAGTACAGTATATTGGTATAAATATATATGTATAATTATGGACAAAAATCATATTTTTACCATCATATTGGTAAAATTAGCTGATAGCTGATAAGTTAGCTTATAACTTATATGAAATTTTTGAGCTTATAACTTATAGCTTATGACTTATAGCTGAAAAGCTAGCTTATATGATAAAAGATGTTTGGAAAATTAGCTGATAAGCTAGCTGAAATAAAAAATTCAACTAACTTATTTGAAAAGCTACCTAATAAGATACCTTATGAAATAAGCTCGAGCTTTTTACAAAAGCTCGTCTTACCAAACGAGGTTTATTTTAAACATGGAGTTTATAAACTAACCAAATAAGTTATAACCAGCTTATTTGGCTTCGCAAACATGTAATGTGTAATGTGTGAATGTAGTAAATCAAAATATGATTGACACCTCATCTCTTTTCAGTTCACAACCGGGTGGAGAAATTGAAGGGATTCTATAATCTCTATATCACACACACACACATAACAAAAATCTCTCATTCTCTCTCTCTCTCTCTCTCTCTCTCTATAAAGCAAAACAGAAAAGTTTTATGTAAAAAAACATCCCCATCAAGAAACCATTTTTTTTCCAACTCTTTTAATCATCACCGTCGTCTGATTATCAGAAAAAAAA